AGAAAATGATCTCCAAAACTCCATAAAATAGAACTCCAGTTGCCTTGGGACTTAAAATTCGACCTCTCTACACTCTCTAAGGCTTTTATTTCCTTCTTTTCTTATTTTCGGATTTTTTTTTTTGAAAGGAAATGCATTTTAAAGAGAGAGATTGTACGAGATTGTACCAAAATTTGAGATTTTTCTAAGGCAAACTGAGCTTCCTCTTGTGTTGAATCCTTCCGGAAACTTTTCCGGCAAATCGCAGGTCTTTGTCCTGGGTGACTGAAAACTGCGTCGTTCCTCTTTCTCTCCAACGTTTTTGCACTTATCTGCATATAAGACAGTAGAAAACAAGAGTGCATGTGGTTTGAAAGAGGATTGGTTAAGGTGGGGAACTAGCTAAAGATGAACTAGCCATTCAGGATCAACTGAGAGTGGTAAAAGGATAAAGGCGTCTTGAAAGTATGATTCGTTTCCCTGGTCTAATGTTTTAATGAGAAAAGTAAATCCAGATTAAGTCCAAATAAAACAGAGCTAGTGTATCCCTTCATTGAAATCGAAATCATTCAAATTCCTCTTGGGTACTTCGTTTCAAATGTGCTTAGCTACCACCTAGTCTAGTCCTAAATCATGAATGAGCATGTGACTAGGAACATTCTAAAAGCACACAGTCAACTATCATTGATTCATGTTCACCATTCCCTTAAAACGTATTTTGTTTTGAAAACCGATTTTGAAAAACTTTAAGGAAAATGCAAAAAGTGTAGATAATGCAAGACTCATGAAAGAAAAGTGGTTAGAAAGGGATGAAATCCTCCCCCATACTTAAATCACACTGTCCTCAGTGTGAAACAAGTCGAGATTGGATGAGAAAAAAATGCATAGATAATCGAATTGGTAAGGCCAAAGAGAACTTACCGGGATCTGGGATGCTGGTGGAGATGAACCGGATTCATTCGAAGAGGTTTGGGAAGGTGATAGGTGGTGATGAAGGTGGTGGAAAGTGATGAATGAGGTGGAGTGGGGATTGGTGAGGTGGAATGAGGTGAAGTGGGTGGTTTGGGGTCGGGTTTGATCTCAACGACCATTTGCCGCAGTCAGGAGCCACGCGACCACGGCAAACCTGTGCTTGGCCGCGGTCAGGAAGACGCGACCGCGGTCGAAGGGGTGTTTCCCGCGGTCAGAACATCTGCGACCGCGGGGGGTTATTTCGCGGCCTCTTCCTGCTTCTCATTGGTTCCTGCCGGGCCGAACAGTCAGGGACCATCCTTCTTTTTGGTATTTTTTGGGTTTTTTTATTTTTTTGGCTTTTTTATTTTATAAGAAACACCTGAAACTAAGAAAAAGAAAAAGATCAATAGAAAAAGAAAGAAAAATCCTAAAGAAAACAATACCTAAATGGGTTGGCTCCCATTAAGCGCTTTTGTTTTAAGTCGTTTAGCTCGACTTTTGGTGTTGGACGTGGCTTAGTCCAATGAGGAAGACCTTGTCCTGAGACGAGTCTTTTTCGACATCTCCTTGCTTTCCTTTGTATATCCCTTATAACGCCATTCCCAATTGGAAATTTTGTCCTCAGGTTCGAGATGGTAGCCTCCTCCAGGATCAAAAATCAGTCTTGGAGCTCCTTTGAGGCATGAGTCTTCAAAACCACTTGTGATAGGAGAACGTCTTAGATGCTTGTATGATATGGTGAATAAGGTCTCTCTCACTTTGTTCGTCAAGCTTGTGAATCCGGCGTTTTCTTTGGGTGCTCTTCTTTCTAAAACGTATCCAACATCCTTTGTAGTTCCTCCAGGGTCAAATATTGGATCTTCTACGCTGCCTATTGTCAGACAGTGAGTATTCCTTGTAGGAATCGCCGGATGTAAGGTTTTCTTGTCGATCTTCAGGAAACTCATATGTTGATGCAGGTAGTTGATGAGTGTTCCAACAGATGTTAGGAACAAAGTACCAAGTATCAAGGGTTTTGTTGCATTGTTTCTCATCTCCATAGCATGTGAACCAGTAGAAACAAGATAACATGTCCCTTGAAAAGGCAATTCTGGTTTGGAACCAAGTAGAGCTGCACCAAAAAAATCTCCATAGTGAATATAAATCTTAGAGGGATGAAAAATCGAAATACCTATATTCTCTGCAATGGCCTTTGGTATGAGATTCACAGCAGGTCCAGTATCACAAAGAGAATCACGAAATTTCACTTCCTTGATTGAGAATGGGGCATCAAACTTCTCGAAATCCTTCGTCTTAGAAAGCGCCTCCAATGGTGGTTTTGATGTCACCATTAGTGTCTTATCTTCCACGTGGTCTGTCTTATAGTCAAGGTGGTGAGGAACTGAAGGAGAAAAAGGCTTTGGTTCATCAAGAGGAAGGGACTTATGATCTTGTTTATCGTCTCCAAAACACTTGAATGAATCGGTAGAGACGAGATCATCACTAGGGATAGAAATAGGTTCTCCTTTTTCTTGATGACTGGCTTCCATGACGTGATGATCCAAAGGAATTTTGTTTGATGGCCTGTTTATAACGAACTTGATGGAGGATTCTCCATCTACTTCACAAGATACCCAATACCCTTCATCCATAGATTCATTGAGCTCCTAAAGCATATCATCAATCTCGGTTCGGGAGACAGACGACATATCTTCATCAAAGAGAGGATCATGGATATCTCCGTGGGCATTGTAAGTTGAATAAGGGTCGTGGTCCCAGTAGAATCCTTGTTCCTCTAAACCTTCGCGGATTGATTTGTTGTGGCTGCGAAGTCCTCTTGTGTGGTGGTTCGGAATTGAATTCTGATCCATTGAGGAGAAATCACGAATGTATTGTGCTTCTCGGCATCGAGTAGCTTGAGGAGTGTTGTAAAAACCTCCCTCATAGTAGTATTTTCGTTTCATATGGTTCATTGCTTCATAACCTGAAACAAGAAGAACCAAAAACGAAAATAAGTAGAAAATGTGTTCTAGAGTCGATTTACCAACCTTTCTTAGGGTTTTGTGGAAAAGAAAACGCGTGCCTTCCCCGGCAACGGCGCCAAAAACTTGATGTACTGTCGTGTCGAGGGCTGTCAAGTTTTATCCTAAATGAAATCAATAGCCGCAAGTGCACAACTGATCGATTGTAGTACTTAGGGATCAAATCCACAAGGAAGGAGGATCTTTCCTACAAAAGCCTTCGAAAGAAATATAAAGTAAGGAAGTCTAGAACCAAACGGTTTTGTGGGGGTTTTGGTGGTGTGTTTAAAATGTAAAAACGAATCTTAAAGAGAAGATACAGGAATTAAAATGACCTAATAACTAAATTTAACAAAAACGGGTAAAAACGAAAAAAACGGCTAACCTAATTGCTTTAATAAAAATCGATTGAAAGGGAATGAATATAATGAACTAAAGCTTAAAATAAAACGGTGTGAATCTATAAGAAAGAAAGTGCTGGGCTTCAGGGAAGTTTTCTCAGGGGTAAGAACAATTCAAAACATTGCTAGAGAGTAAATTTGATAAGATCTTAGCTTAAACTTTTCGAACTGGAGTCACGGACGTATGAATACGCCACTGTCGTGATCATAGACAACTATCTCTCTCAACCCTGACCAGTAGGTTTCCACTCTGGCCCTGGAAAAGAAGAGATGCATTATGTTTAAGACTCGTCAGCATTCACAAATCGCCCATAGGTAGGTTTCCACTCCTATGTTTGTTTTGCTCTCCCAAACTAGATCTGACACCGGATGAACACTTTCGTGTCACCAAGCATCTGGATCAGATTGTAGTTCATGACGCTACTCTCATGCAGTAAAAACGAATTCAGAAGAAAAAGTTCTAAGATTCGGCTCAAAAGCACATGGAATCCTCATCGAACATATAAATCCCCATCAAATATCCCTTAATCCCAACAATAAAACTATTCAGACATGATGAACGAAATCAAAAACATAGTATTAAAAAGTAGAATAGAAACCGAAATTGTAAAAGAAAGAACAAGGGTTCAAGAGACAAATCTCTCTCTCCCTAAAACCTAAAAACAAAGCTTAAAGTAAAATTTCTGTAAAGTATTTCATCTCCTTTCTTCTCTTTCTTAAAAACGACCTAAATGACATGTATTTATAGTCTCCAATACTCTCAGGTGTCTAGGGTTCCGGAATTGAGGCTGGAAAAATGATACGGGCTTCAGAAATGGGCCTTCAAAGTCGGAGTTAGCTGGCCGCGGTCGGGATAAGTGCGACCGCGGGAAATGGGTGGCTCGCCGCGGTCGCGGTGCTTCTGACCGCGGGCATTGGTCTGTTGGCCGCGGGTGGAAATGCTTGCCGGATGGTTTACGGGACATCTTGCTCTTCGCGTATCTTTTTATTGAACCGTTGGATTGCCAAGCTGTAAAGTTTGCTGGAAAGCTGATACTTCCATCTTTAAGATCTCCAAATTTGAGCTGGATCAGACGGTGAGAAGGCCTTCAATCAAGGGTGAACTTCTGACGGTTTGACTCTGAGCTGAAATCTGGTTTTCTATCCATTTTGTTAAGCTTTTAGATTCTTGGAACTACAAATACAAGAAAAACGTAATAAAAGTACTTAAAAGCAATTAAAAACATAGAAAAAGTATTTCAAAACGATCCATAAAAGTGGTCAAAATACGGTGTTATCACATACCTTAATAGGCTGTAATTATCTATAAGCTTATTATGTTTAAGTACTATTTAATGTATCAATAATATCATTTTAATGATGATCATGTGAAGTTTTAAAGCAAATTATTAAATTACTAAAACAATATACATACTAAAATAAAAATTTAAGCGTGTGAAAAAATGAATGAAAACAAAATAATGATAAATAATAACCATCCGATTACAAAATTAAGAACCAAAAGCAAAGTAAAATAAAAAACCATGATAAAAGAAAAGATTATTCAGATGATTAAGGCATAACAAAATAGTTAAAATAACTGATTTTGGTTCTTAAATCATGGCTTCTCCGTCTTCACGGTCTTAAGAGGCATAGTATTTGGATTAGTCTCAACATTTTTCTCATCCTAACACTTCTTCTTTGCAGCTGAATACTCATCAGTATCCTTAATCACTTCCATATTTTCATTGCTTTTGCGTTTAGATATAGGTGTAATTTCAGCATCATCATCATCCATAATCATTAGAGGAACCTATAACACATTAATTAATCTGTAAGAACAAAACTATTATAGAATATTACACATGAATATAAGAAAATAGAATATAGAATTATACCTTTTCATCAAGCGTATTGTGAGCTTTTTTTCTCTATCTTGATACTTGGAGTGCTCTACGAAAAGTAAAAGTAATGTATTGTAAAAAATAAAGAAGTAGTTTTTAAAGAATTTGTGATAACAAAATGATATAACTTTACCTGAGGGTAGAGATTTCAGAAAACTCCTTAACCACATCACTTTGTGTAATTATACTGATGACCTTGTATGTGTCACTATTGAAAACAATATTTGAACTTGCAATTGTAATCTTGAAGAGAAACGTTTTACCACAAATATTGCTCAAAGCCAAGGGCAAGACATCTAGATCCTGAATCTAAACAAAGAAGATTTTAATAAAATTGAAATAGATTAAGTCAGAAACGGTCATGGAAACATGCAGTAGAAATATGAACCTCATTAACAGATTGAGTTAACTGAGCAGCAGTTTGGTTAACAAGTTCCTTTGCCTCTCGATCAAATAAGAGAAATTTGGTTTCACCAGTATTATCCATGACACGGAATGTCAACATGAACCTGTCATCATTTGAAATAGGATAAGTTAAATTAATTAGATGTGAAAACATTACTATAGCACAAAAACAATAACAGACTTACGATGGATAAACATTCTCAACATCCTCAATGCATTTTTTGCACTGCCACAATTGTTTCTTAAAAGTTATCCCATGATACAGTTCTTTTAAGTAGTCCATATCATGAGGGAGAACGTTTTTAGCACAAGCTCCGCATGACATGTAATACCAACCAAACTCAGTGTCTATAGACATAAATGTGGCCATGGTAACACATTTGACAACCTTTGAAAGTGCATAATGATATTAGAATCAAATATAACTTATATAAATTGAACTGACAGAATATATATTTACCTCAGAAGCAGCAATAATCTCGCTAATAGTCCTTCGAGGACTATGCAAGAAGAAATCGTCCCTTACTGATACTGAACTGACAATAGTCAACTGATTTGGATGGGTATAGGTCAGGGTTAAACCATCTTTTGGAAATCTGTATAGATTATATTACATAGTTATCAGAATAGAAAATTTAAGAAATAAATAAAAACAAGGGAATAAGTAGTTTTACCTCTCTTTAAAAGCAAAACTCTCTGGGAACACTAGATCAGTAATGACCATCGAACAGTTGTAACAATTGCCAACACTCCAAACACCTTGATAAAATTTTAACTTTCCAAAACGTAAAACAACAACGATCACAACATCATTTACATGTTGAGCCACACTTTCAAGATTTTCAGCAAATTGTCCCCAAAGAACACAATTAAGTCGAACATTTCTATATTGAAAATGATAAATAAAATGAGAGAAAAGGATAGTAAACATAACTAGTAAGGATTTAGAGCAGTGGTGATAGATACGTAATGTAAATGCTAACTCTGTATCACGGATCTCCATAGAAAGCCTCTTTGTTTGTCTCTTTCCAACATTCAAGATCTCCACATCCCATGCTCACAATTTGCCTAATAGCATCTGAGGTATAAAACATCATGTTAGTACTCTGGAATAACGCACACAAACTATATATCCAATGTATAATTTACGAATTAAACAAACTTGCCTATCAAGAAATCTAAATTCATTTTGCCTTTGTGAATATCACTAAACTTGACGAACTTGAAATCTAGGATTCTTGGATCCATTTCTTTTGCTGTTTTGACAGATGTTGTTGATGCAAATGTGTTTTAGGAAATATTATAGCGTTTAGCAATAGAGATAGTAGAACAATTAAAATTAAAAGAATTAATAATATAGCTAAATACCAACTTTAATCGTAGAGCTGCCAAGTATCCAATAGTGCTTCCACTTTTATATATTGGAGATGGTTTAGGGTATAGAGATTATAGTTTAATATTTAAAAATTAAAATTTTGATTTTTTTTACTATTAATTTGTTTTATCTATTTTATTTTTTTATTTTTTTAATTCACTTTAAATTTTATATAGCATATTTTGATTGGTTATAATAGAAGGGGGGTAATAAATTAGTTTACTTCTAGGAATGAACCTAAAAATTGTTCTAATATTTAACAGAAAAAGGAACAACGGTTTGCAACCTAATGTCAAGGCGGAGCAAGCAAAAGTACTAGCGATGATAACATATTAATGTAATGCTAAGTAGATCTTGCAAACCATCTAAACTCAATAGTCTATTCTAAGTCAGCCATCTAAACGCAATAAGGGCAGCGCTGCTATTTTATAACAATTATAACAATTTTTCCTTTATATTACTTTGCCTTTTTGTACTATTTTGGACAATTTAAAATACATAAACCGAATAAAAATGAGTATCTTGCTTTCTCCTTTTGTCCCTTTGCTGATAAACAGAGACAAATATGACGATGGGACTCATCGATCGACCATACGTATTCGGATCATACTGATGAATATATATACAAATATATAGCCTATATATTAACTTTTCCCTTTTTAGGTTTATAAAAATCATAATAAAAAATCCACTTCCATGCCATGCAATCAAAAAAGAAAATCCACTCACCGATGAATAAAGAAGAATGACGAATTTAAAGTCCACAAGGAAGAAAAAAGGAGCTTGTGAATTATTATGATTCATTAGTGGGTCTACATACACATTTAGATTCTATGCGTTACTATGAAGCAGCTGTTCAAAATTCCTGTGTACGATAATTTTAAATCGGAGAAGAATAACCGGAAATAACCAAAGTCTTCAAAGGATAGATATTAAATACATAGAAGGATTAAAAGACTATATAAGCTGTTTTCATCTATGATAAATACATTATCTGTTTAGAGGTTATAGGAACTGTTGCTACACTTCTTCACCAAGAAAGCATGACTGGAGTCTCGTTTGTGTGAGATTATCTGATAATATTGCATCCTTAATCCTGGTTGTGGATTTAGAAGTCATGCCGGGTCCTGCTTGAGGCGCGGCATCAATCAGAAGCTGAACGACTTCGGTCATGGTAGGACGGATTGTTGGAGTTCTACTCGTACAACGGATAGCCACACGCAAGGCATTGATAATGTCGGCTTTGGATGACTCCGATAATCTCTTGTCTACTGTCTCAATCAATCCTTCTTTTGTGTCAATCTTTGTTGACACCCAATTCACTATGTTTTTGTTCTCACCGAAGCATGAATCCACCGGTTTCTTCCCCGTGATCAGCTCCATTAGCACCACCCCAAAACTGTAGACGTCGCATTTGATAGTTGCTTTGGAGGAGTATGCATATTCTGTGATTAGCAAATGCATATCATTAATTGGCTAACAGAAAAACTTGTAGTAAAATCGAAAAAGACGATCACATGAATTTTCAAGAATTGTTGAAAAGAGATGAAATTGGAAATAGCATCTCTGAAAACCGGTTACCACACAACTAACATCACCAAAAATGTATTATCGTATTTAGCATAATCGTTTTTTTTTTTATAAACATAGTCTCTATTTTTAATTTTAATTGTTAATGTAAACCCATATATGAACAATTATTATTCTGATCAATAGTTTTTTTTATCAAGTTACAATGGTGATCATATTAGCTAATATCTCATAGTTTTTATATTTCCATTTTTATATTTGAATGTGAAGTTTCACTAGGTGTATAGAGGTATTAGATATCACCTGGGGCCAGGTAACCATACGTGCCGGCGATGACGGTTGTGGTTGAATCTTTCCCTCTAGCTTGCAACACCTTTGCAATGCCAAAGTCTGCAACTTTAGGCTGATAGTTTATATCCAATAAGATGTTTGTGGATTTGATGTCGCGATGAATTATTGGTGGCGAGAGATCATGGTGAAGGTAAGCCAATCCTTGAGCGACTCCAACAGCGATTTGATGACGAATGGGCCACTCGAGATGAACAAAGCCTTTGTGAAGAGCGTCCCATAAGTTACCATTAGGCATATACTCATATACCAAAAGACTACAATCCAAACTTGAGAAATAGCTGAAGAGCTTGACGATGTTCTTGTGCCGAATGCTCCCAAGCGTCTCAACTTCAGTTTTCATCTCCTTGTTCAAATGCATTCTGTCGTCGGAAGCTGAGTCCTTTCTGCTTTGGCTCCATAATTTCTTCACCGCAACTACTTCTCCTGATTTAAGCTCTACTCTATAGACCGTACCCGAACCACCATGGCCTACAATGTTCTTGTCCACAAGAGCTTCGAGAATCTCCCTTTGGTCGAAACTTATGCGGTGGAAACTCTTGACATCATAGGAAAAGAAAGAAGACGCCAAGGTCTCGTCTTGCTCTATCACTGCTCTATTTTTCCTCAATCGTAGTCTCAGGTAAACAATGATGGCCCCTAGAATAAGAATCAAGATAGAGACAAGGATCGCCCAGATCGAGCTCAGCTTCTTCTCGCTGTGAGCCTCTTGACATATTGGAAACTTTAAATCTGATGAACCAGCTTTCGGTGGAACACAGAGATTAGGGTTATCTGAAAAGCTTTCTACTAGACCTCCTCTTATCAATGATACAGGGATAGGACCAGAGAGCTGGTTGCTAGAGAAATTGATCGAGGTTAGGAGCAACTCGGAGAGGTCATCAGGGATTCTCCCAGTGAGGAGATTATTGGATAGATCAAGAACGTTCAGAGATTTGAGATTAGAAAGAGACTCGGGAATTGAAGAATCGAGGTGGTTTCCTTGGAGCACAAGTAAGTTCAGTTTCTTGAGTCTTCCAATCTCTGAGGGTATTGGACCAGACAATTGATTGTTACTGAGATCAAGCTTCACAAGATTAGTGGTATGAGAGATCTCGGGAGGTATAACTCCGGCGATTTTATTACCCTGCATAAACAGCTCTGACAAATTCCAAGCGTTTCCGATCGACTCAGGTATTGGACCGGATAGGATGTTGTAAGCCAAGTCGATGATTGAGACATGAGGCAGAGACATAACTTCTTGTGGAATAGCTCCCACGAGGCGGTTTCTTGCGACTCGGAACCGTATAAGAGTCTTGCAGTTCCCATAAGTTGGAGGGATCGAACCAGAGAATCTATTTTGTAGGACAAGAAAGTACAAAAGCTTACCGGATTTGCAAACTTGGGTCGGAAGAGAACCAGAAAGGCGATTTTCTGAGACATCAAGAGCGATCATAGGGGAGGAAGATCCGAGATTGGGCGGGAGTTCACCACTTAAGTAGTTGTCGTAGAGAGACAAGATCTTTAGGGTTGTCGAGTTGCCAAGTGATTTGGGAATCTCACCGGTTAAGCTGTTGTTGTAGAGCTGAAGCACTCGGAGTTTAGGAAGAGTGCATATTGATTCCGGTATGCTTCCGGTTAACCGGCTAACCGAGATATCTATATCTGTAAGATTCTTGAGATTACCAATTTCCTCTGGTATACTCCCGGTTAAGTGATAGTTATAGTAAAGCTCAAGCTGCCTCAAGTTGGAAAGATTTCCGATTTCTTTTGGAATCTCGCCGGAGAGGAAGTTTCCGCTAAGTTCAAGATCAACAAGTGAGGTCAAATTCCCAATTGATCTCGGGATATTACCATGAAGCATGCACGTCATCAAAAGCATGTGTGTGAGTTTTGTGAGCTTCGAGACATATTCCGGTAGAGTCCAGAGATCGAGCTCTGGGTTCTCATTGAAATTGAGATATTCTAAACCAGTGAGATTGAAAACCGAGATTGGGAAGCTACCACTGAAGTAGTTCCAAGACATGTCGATGGCTCTTAGAGATTTCATCAGTGAGAAATTAGGGAGTGTGGCTGTGAGATAAAGAGAACTCATGTTTAGCTCTTGAAGCAGAGAACACTCAGGGATAGAGTTGAGGAAGCTGCTGCTTCTATTGAGATGGTTGTGAGAGAGACGAAGGACGCGGAGGTTTGGTAAGTAAGAGCAAATACCATCTGGGAATTTCCCTGAGAGAGACCAGCCGGAAAGATCAAGATCTGTGACTAGCCCCTGTCCATCGCACCTTATGCCGCTGAAGTTACAGTAGTGAGTAGTCTTGGCGGTGTCAGAAAGATTCCAAGAGGACAAAGCATCTCCGGAAAGAGAGTTTTTCATAAGCTTGAGAAATTGAGGTTGTTGGTTCGAACTCATCAAACCCCATGATTGATTGTTGTTGAAGCAAACGAAGAAGAGAACAAAAAAGAGGAAATAATTGAGAAGCATTTTAGGGAAAGATCAAAAGGAACCGAGAGGAGCTAACTTAGGATGCAAGAAAGAGAGATAAATTTTGGGATTGGGAGAAAAAAGAGTGAAGAAGAAGTTTACAAGTTGTAAGACTGAAATTAATTATAGGCTTATAAAACAAAAGAAGGGTTCATGTCTTTTGTCCACCACGATCAGAATCAGATAGATGCAATATTTTTTTTTTCGAAAAAAGGATAATTTAAATAATAATATAATAATTGAAGAAAAGGAGCATACATATCTTTCCTTTGCATAAAGAAGCTTTATGATTATACCCACTAAGTTATTATAGAGAATAACTTAGAAGTGTACGTAGCCAACTTTAAACCCCCAAAGCTTTACTTTTATTTGTTATTTTTCTCAGAAAAAGAAGAGTTGACATATCATTGAATCTGATGCTAAAGGGTGCACGATCACCTGTCTAAGAACCTCGCTATTGTCTTGACATGTTTTATGTTTTTTTTTTTTTTTACTTTGGCTTTCAATATAAATAAATGCATGAGAAAAAAAAAAATACAAACCCAACGGATCTTAGTGTTTTTGGGTCTAACCCATAGTAACTAAATCAGCCTATTACATCAAGGAAAGATATTAAACCCACACATTAATCTTGTCGATAAAATTAAGTAGAAGTAAGAAAGAAGACGAAACAACATCTAACCAAGTAGAAAATTTTGTTATTGAGAACATCTAACTGATGCTAAAAACAATCGTAGACCTAATCAGATAAAAAAAGATTTTGGTTTGTCACTAAACCTAATTAAGTAGAAAATTAAAAAGCTTGAATTAAAAATCGGTTGAAAACTATATGAAAAACGGCGCTGGAATTAGGGTTCATCTTTATGGTTCATGTTCTCTGATAAAGGGAACTTAGGTAAGGATTTTCTATGACTCTGAAACTAGGATAGACACTTATAATATTAGCCAAATCTAGTAAGCCTAATCATCTAATCACTTATTCTTGGCAATTAACTCTGGTTCTCATGCCATAATAAGATCATGCATTTAAGATCGGAATCCATCTCGGCTTACGTATCCTCTGTAGGTAGCTTTCGTCTTCTACGACGGTGACGTCCATAAGATCTAGTTCAGGTAACCCAGATACATCAATCTTGTGGCTCAGATTTAATCTTGGATTGGACTCTGGGTGATCAATCCAGAGAACCGCTTTGAGATTTGGATGAATGGGAGAATCATTTAAAAACTAAATCCTTTAACCTTAAAACTTAGATGTCAATCGAACATGAGATCCCCTTTGATGTTCCTTCACCCAACTCGGTGACTACTCAGACATGACTGAAATTTATATCATCATCGGTTTAAGAACTACAAAGCAGTAAAGTCAGTAAACAAAAATTGCAGAAAAACTTCTCTTATTGAAGACAGTTTATGGCGATGAAAAGCTTTTACAGATGCAAAAGTAAAACCTAAAATTAATATGAAGTTCTCTCACAAAGAGATGAAAGAGGCACTTTTACAAAAGACCTAATAATAAGTATTTATAGTGTTTCCACAAGTTTGGGCGTCTAAGGCTTGTAAAATGAGTGCAGGAAGTGTCTTGGGCCTTAGTTGGGCTTATGAGGCTGGTTCACTGCGGGTGAGAGGGGCTAAGCCGTGGTGGGGGGTAGTTTTGTCGCAGGTGAGAGCTTCTGTCCCTGACTGAAGTGTGTTGATTAACCTTCAATGCATTGATGATATATGGAGATCTAACGTTGGATTGCACTGATTCCAAGTGTGTTGGAAAGCTGGTTGTATGTTCTATGATATCGCCAAATTTGGGGATGATCAGACGGTGAGAAGGTCTTCTTTGGTGTCCAAAATTCTGATAGCCAGAATTTATCCAAAAATGTACTTTTGCTCCAAAATGCACTCCAAGACTCCAGGTTTCCTGAAAAGTCTTTTAAAACTACAAAACATGGAAAGCACTTCTAAAACTTTAAAAACTGAGTGAAAACACCTGCATAAAATATTGAAAGTAATTCATAAAAGTGGTCAAAATCAGGTGTTATCAACTCCCCTAGACTTAAACCTTTGTTTGTCTTCAAACAAAACAAAAGATATAACTACAGAAAAGAGGTTTGAAATTGCAGGAATTAACAATATCTCAGAGACCATACTTCTAAACTAAAGTCATTATGCTCAGATCAGGTATAGTCTAGAAAATTTTCACCAAAATACAGACATAACTAGTCCGTTGATCCATCATGCGAAAGTCTACGCACTTAGACACATCTTCCACTCAACTAGCTCTTTACATTCATTATAAGTTCAAGTGGTTCTCACCAAAAGGGACTTTAGTAAGGCAATCAAGGCTAGGTATTCAAAATGGTTTTTTTTTAGGGTGAGGTTCTTAGTGTTTAGGGTTACTTTTTTTTGGAGAGACAAGATATTATGCAAAACAGCAAAAGAGGATGGAGCTGTTGATATCCATAATTTTCAGTCACGTTCTCGTTGCCTTTAAGATTTCTGATCTCGTTCCTTCAGGTTCTCCCCATAACTCCCCCAGACTTAGATTTTTGTCCAGGTTGTAAAACCAATACTCCACAAATGAATATTTGTAGCCTTTGCTCCAAATAATTTCGGTCATCCTAGATTCGTTTAGGCTTTTGTTTTCCTTTTCTTTCATTCTTTTTTTTTTGATTTTTTTTTTTGAAAGGGGAAACAGCCTCTAGATGTAGAGTCTTAGGGAGCACGAATTTTACCTTTATGAATGAGTTTCTCGAGGCACCATTAAGCTTGATAGGATTCCTGATACTCCTCTTTCCCAAATTCTTTTAGTCTTTCTCTTGAGTAACTGAAAACTATGTTGTTCCTCCCTCTCCGGCGTTTTTTGCACATATATGTCGATACAAACTAAAGAGAGAATGCATGAGATTTGAACATAAAGGTTTGGGTTAAGGGTGTGGTACCAGCTAAAGATGAACTGGCCATCTAGGACAACAAAGAGTGGTGACAATAAGGTAAAGATGTCCTAGATGTATATCATGATGCCTGCCTAAAACCATTGATGAGAAAATTAGATGTTAAATTCAGGTAAAATGAGCTAGTATATTTCGCAGAAAAGATCGCCATGAATAGAAATCCTCTGGTGGGAGTTCGTAGTGCATGTACTCTAGCTACCGCCTAGTCTAGTACTAACCACAAAAAGAACTATCATATAAAGTCTAGAAGCACATGGGTCTTACTCATCATAGTTTTGTGTCAAACATTCTTGAAAAACACTCAAGGTCTTTTAATAAGCATAGAAAATTTTAAAAATTGCAGAAAAGATAAGAAACAAAGAAAATAAATCAGTACGGATAAACATCCTCCTCCATACTTAAATCACACTGTCCCCAATGTGAAAAAGTTGGTGAGAAGATAGTAAATCAAAGCAAAAGAGTCTGAAATAAAAGAAAAGAAAATGATGATAGAACCATGGGTATGGCGAGGTGTGGATAAGCGCCTATGTCTTCTAGTTGTCGTCTTTCTCTGTGGCGGAGGAGTCATCATCAAACCTGTGGTTCTTCTTCAGGAACTTCTTCATGAGCTTGTTGATCATCTCCTGCTGATCAAACTTCTTCTTCAAAGCTGGAAAGTCTGCATCGGTCCTAGTGGATGCTCTGGTGTGGGAGGAACTGGCTCGGGATGATGATGGTGTAGGCTGAAGTCTCCTGCTGTTTGCAGCTACCTCTCTCTTCGCTTTTGATAACTAAGGTTTTTAAAGCCTTAGATGGGTTATCAATCCCCTTGTCAAAGTAGCATAAGGGGTGTCAATCCATATGTGTGGTAGTTAGGCACTAGTTTATGTGATAGGTTCTTAAGTCAAGTAATCAAAGATGAGTTTTGTGAAACCAGCAACAAGAAAGCATAAAACAAGAAACAAACAAGCTATGATTAATGAACTAAGCAAGCAAACAAAACAAGATGATGGTGATTAAGCAAATGATAAAAGCTAAACCTCTAGATGTGATCATTGATTAGGGTGCTTTAGATATTGAATCATGATGCTAAGAACATAATGCAACACTTGCTACTCTTTAGTCTAGGCTTCTTAATCAGATTAATTCATTCCCATGACAATAATCCCTTTGCAAATCACTTAATCAAGTCTAACAACCATTAGATATAATCAAGCAATCAGCAAGCATAATGCATCAAGCCTAATAAGTGACCAAACAATCTCTCAACCAAGAAGACTGAATCTTATACAGAAAGACATAACAAGCAATCACATGATCTCAAACATTTCAACTTAGAACTCTAATCTAGACTAATCCTCTCATGAAGGCATTAATCTCTACACTAATCCACTTTCAAACCAAATCATCATTTGTGAAATATGAATCAATGAGCATTAAGAAACAGTTCTAATATGTCATTCATGCATTTAACAAATCATTCCCATGATGAAAAAGGCATAAACCCTTAAGTTAGCTCATTCAGGCATTTCATCAAACACTTTTGGTGCATGAAATGCCTATGAACCCAGGTTTCACTTTCCCAAGGAAATCTGGCATTAGGAGCAACTAACTAAGGAAATGGAATGAGAATCTAAACCCTAAATATCACCAATCAAACATCTAAGCACCCTAATCTACACACCTAGAAGTTTAAAAGATGACTACTCACTAATCATGAAGAACACATCTAATCTTTTGCAAGAGATGATGTTAATCATGATTAGAAGTAGAAATGAGATGATGAGATGATAAGAAACAGACTTGGAATGATCAAATCCCTTCAGATATCTCTTAATCAAAAACGTTTTTACACTCAAAAGGAAAGAAAACTAGAGAGAAAACTAAGTAGAGGATGATCCCCTTGGGTTTTTCTCCCAAAAAACTATATATACCTAGTGCTAATGGACCGGGTCAGCCCAGGACAAACTGGGTACTGACCCGGCTCAGTTGGGTCAAGTGGAAATCCTGCGGGTCAGTCCAGTATGTCCCAGGTCGCACACCTAAGTCGCAGTAGATGAAGACTTGTCTTGTGAAGCCTGAATCGCCTTGTCTTAGCCGCACGCCTAAGTAGGAGTGTTTTGCGAGTGTTGCTGCGGCTTGGTCTCCTTCCTCTCCA